CCTCTAGCACTATCAGATTTTGGGCAAGCAAAGCAGAGCCATTGTGAGCTTGAACTGCAAACAAACATAGTGAAAGAACGTTGAGATAACAAGCAAACAAAACCCTGAAAGTAGCACAGATGAAAAAAGAGGGTAGACAAAAAAGTTCTCAAATTGTCGGTTCTGTGGTCAAGTCTTTGAGAGTGCCAAGAAAACTTGAGCGAGATCAGTATTGGAGAGCTATAGGAACTTAGTGACTTCGTCCTACCAAGATCCTGTTTAAGATCCCACAGGAACCTAGAGGAAGATATGGAATAAAGTGACCTACTAAGATCCTGTTTAGGATCTTACAAGCACTTATAGGAAGCTATTGACATAGTCCTACCAAGATCCACTTTCATAGGATCCAACGGGAACCTATAGCAAGCTATTGACTTAGTCCTATCCTACCAAGATACTGTTTAGGATCCTACAGGAACCTGTAGGAAGCTATTGACTTAGTCCTACCAAGATACTGTTTAGGATCCTACGGGGACCTATAGAAAGCTATTGACTTAGTCCTATCCCACCCAGATCCTGTTTAGGATCCTACAGGAACCCATAGGAAGCTATTGACTTAGTTCTACCAAGATCCTGTTTAGGATCCTACAGGAACCTATAGGAAAAATATTGACTTTTCCTTCCAAGATCCTGCTCAGAATCTTACAGCAACCCATAGGAAAAATAATGACTTCGTCCTTCCAAGATCCTGCTTAGAATCTTACAGAAACCTATAGGAAAAATATTGACTTAGTCCTTCCAAGATCTTGATTAGAATCTTACAGAAACCTATAGGAAGCTATGGATTTAGTCCCAATAAGATCCCGTTTAGAATCCCTTAAGCCTGGTTTTCACTAGAGCATAAGCACAAGCATATGTGTATGCAAGTGAAAACTGGGTCAACATACAGCATAATCACAAGAAAAAGGACACGTTCGTTTCTTCTTGTGGTTGTGCTTATGGTTATGTCGTAACTTTGACTAGTGAAAACGGGTCAACATAAGCACATTAGCATAAGCACAAGGCCGTGGGCCAATCATAATCATTTATTGACTAAGATCCTGTTTAGAATTCCTTAAGCCAGGTTTTCACTAGAGCATGAGCATAAGCACAAGCACATGTGTATGCTAGTGAAAACTGGGTCAACATAAAAGCATAAGAATAAGCACAAGGCCGTGGACCAATCATAGACCACTTTGACCCAGACCTCATGTGAACATAGTCAAAAAAGCAACATGTTGAATGAAGCATCTGCCATCTTGTTTACGATCGGGTTGAGGAGAGCTGGTATTGAAAATTGAGACAAATATGCCATTCTGCACATGCGTATGTCCTTATGCTTATGCACTAGTGAAAACAAGGCTTAAGGAACCTATAGAAAGCTATTGACTTAGTCATAACAGGATCCTGTTTATTATTCTACAGGTACCTATAGGAAGTTATTGACTTAGTCCTACCAAGATCCTGTTTAGGATCCTACACGAACCTATAGGAAATTATTGACTTATACCTACTAAGATCCTGTTTAGGATCGTACAGGAACCTATAGGAAGCTATTGACCTAGTCCAACCAAAATCCTGTTTAGGATCCCACAGAAACCTATAGGAAGCTATTGACCTAGTCCAACTAAGATCTTGTTTAGGATCCTACAGGAACCTATACGAAATTATTCACTTATAACTGCCATGAACCTGTCTAGGATCCTACAGGAACCTATAAGGAAATTATTGACTTGGTCCTACCAAACTCCTGTTTAGGTTCCTATGGGAACCTCTAGGAAGCTATTGACCTAGTCCAACCAAGATCTTGTTTAGGATCCTATGGGAACCTCTAGGAAGCTATTGACCTAGTCCAACCAAGATCTTGTTTAGGATCCTACAAGAACCTATAGGAAGCTATTGACTTAGTCCTACCTAGATACTGTTTAAGATCCTACAGGAACCTTTAGGAAGCTATTGACTTAATCCTACCAAGATCCTTTTAGGATCCTACTGGAACCTACAGAAAGCTATTGACTCAGTCCATCCAAGATCCTGTTTAGTATGCTATTGGTACCTATAGGAAGCTATTGACCTAGTCTAACCAAGATCCTGTCTAGGATCCTACAGGAACCTATAGGAAATTATTGACTTAGTCCTACCAATATCCTGTTCAGGATCCTACAGGAACCTGTAGGAAATTACTTGGTTATACCTACCAAGATTCTGTTTAGGTTCCTACAGGTACCTATAGGAAATTATTGACTTTTACCTACCAAGATCCTGTTTAGGATCCTACCAAGATCTTGTTTAGGATAGGTCAAGAGCTTCCTTTAGGATCCTACAGGAATCTATAGGAAGCTATTGACCTAGTCTAACCAAGATCCAGTTTAGGATCTTACAGGAACCTATAGGGTGCTTTTGCTGTGCAATCGATTTGGACTTTCGACTGACCAAGCGCTGGGGTGAGTCAAAAAATGATTCAGTACAATAAAATGCCTGCTCTGAGGCTATAATTCACCTATTTGGAGAAGAAGGAGCACAAATGTTTAAAAAGTCAGCAGTCGATCTTAATTCTGCATTTTACCCCTAGCCTGCATTTTACTCTCAGTCTGCATTTTACCCCTAGCCTGCATTTTACACTCAGTCTGCATGTTACCCCTGGTCCGCAGTCTGCGTTTTACACTGACTGTAAAAGTTATTGACTTACCGGTAGTCCAACCAAGATCTTGTTTAGAATCCTACAGGAACCTATAGGAAGCTATTGACTTAGTCCTACCAAGATCCTGTTTAGGATCCTATAGGAACCTATAGAAAATTATTGACTTATACCTACCAAGATCCTGTTTAGGATCCTACAGGAACCTATAGGAAATTATTGACTTAGTCCTACCAAGATCCTATTTAGAATCCTACAGGAACCTATAGGAAGCTATTGACTTAGTCCTTCCAAGATCCTGTTTAGGATCCTACAGGAACCTATAGGAAATTATTGACTTAGTCCAACCAAAATCCTGTTTAGGTTCCTATGGGAACCTATAGAAAGCTATTGACCTAGTCTAACCAAGATACTGTTTGAGATCCTACAGGAACCTATAGGAGGCTATTGACTTATACCTACCAAGATCCTGTTTAGGATCCTACAAGAACCTATAGGAAGCTATTGACGTAGTTCAACCAAGATGTTGTTTAGGATCCTACAGGAACTTATAGGAAGCTATTGACCTAGTCCTACCAAGATCTTGTTTAGGATCCTACAGGAACCTATAGGAAGGTATTGACCTAGTTCAACCAAGATCTTGTTTAGGATCCTACAGGAACTTATAGGAAGCTATTGACCTAGTCCTACCAAGATCTTGTTTAGGATCCTACAGGAACCTATAGGAAGCTATTGACGTCAACCTACCAAGATACTGTTTAGGATCCTACAGGAACCTATAGGAAGTTATTGACTTAGTCCTACCAAGATCCTGTTTAGGATCCTATAAGAACCTATAGAAAATTATTGACTTATACCTACCAAGATCCTGTTTTGGATCCTACAGGAACCTATAGAAAATTATTGACTTAGTCCTTCCAAGATCCTTTTTAGGATCCTACAGGAACCTATAGGAAGCTATTGACTTAGTCCTACCAAGATACTGTTTAAGATCCTACAGGAACCTATAGGAAGCTATTGACTTAATCCTACCAAGATCCTTTTAGGATCCTACAGGAACTCAGTCCATCAAAGATCCTGTTTAGGATGCTATTGGTATCTATAGGAAGCTATTGACCTAGTCTAACCAAGATCCTGTTTAGGATTCTACAGGAACCTGTAGGAAATTATTGACTTGTGCGTACCAAGTTCCTGTTTAGGATCCTACAAGTACCTATAGGAAGCTATTGACTTATACCTACCGAGATCCTGTTTAGGATCCTCCAGGAACCTATTAGAAGTTATTGACTTAGTCCAACCAAAATCTTGGTTAGGATCCTACAGCAACCTATAGAAAGCTATTGACTTCGTCCTACCAAGATCCTACAGGAACCTATAGTAAATTATTGACTTAGTCCAACCAAGATCCTGTTTAGGATCCTACAGGAACCTATAGGAAGCTATTGACTTATACCTACTGAGATCCTGTTTAGGATCCTACAGGAACCTATAGGAAGCTATTGACTTAGTCCAACCAAGATCCTATTAATTTATTTTAGGATCCTACAGGAACCTATAGGAAAGTATTGACTTAGACCTACCGAGATCCTGTTTAGGATCCTACAGGAACCTATAGGAAGCTATTGACTTAGTTATTGACTTAAAGCTTATTGACTTATTGACTTACAGGAACCTATAGGAAATTATTGACTTATACCTACCAAGATCCTGTTTAGGATCCTACAGGAACGTATAGGAAATTATTGACTTATACCTACCGAGATCCTGTTTAGGATTCTACAGGAACCTATAGGACATTATTGACTTATACCTACCGAGATCCTGTTTGGGATCCTATAGGAACCTATAGGAAGCTATTGACTTAGTCCTACCAAGGTCTTGTTTAGGATCCTATAGGAACCTATAGAAAATTATTGACTTATACCTACCTAGATCTTTTTTTTAGGATCCTACGGGGACCCATAGGAAGTTATTGAATGCCAGCTGCTTTAAATTTTATGACGTTTATTCTATGTAGTTTAATTTAATTGTTGACAAATTTTTTTGGAGTTGAATTCTTTTCCCTGTTTTTCACAGAAAAGCTTTTACAAAGAGCCTGCAGTTCGTGTACCAAGTCTTCAGCGTCTATCTAAAATTGCTCGTGATCTGGGACTGGACATGGAAGAACGAGAGCTAAAGGAATACCGAGGTAGATTTTTTTAAAAATAGGGAAATTTTAAGCTCAAGGTTTGTAAAAGTTTTAATGATGTACAAACAATCCGTGGTATTTAACAGGGGCTGTTTAAAAGTCTGGGTGTTGTGTACTATTGTTACAGAGGCTATTTCAAGACTCTGGGTGATACATACCAGCGGTTGTACGAGTTACCAGACCCCAAGCTCCCGGTCAAGTATCCACGGACACCAGGTTACAGGCCGTCAGCAGAGGAAAACCCTTACAATGCTTGGTGAGAGACAGCTGTCCATCAAAGAGCCGAAATTCAAGCCTTCTCCTCACGTGATAAAACTCCCGAGAGAGTTTGCTACTTGAGGAGACAGCTGAAATTTAGGCTATCAGCTATCAAAAAAAGACAATTTGTTAATGTTCCCTGCTTATGCTTATTCAAAAAAGTATCGTTGGTCTTAACAACCTCTTCATATTCGTAACTTTGCCTTGAAATCCCACACTCGCTAATGACAACCCTCCCCCCCCCCCAAAACTGTCTGTTTAAATCCCTTAAGCTTTAGTTGAAGTCAGCATCTACCCGGCCATTTTCTGTCTTCTTTACTTCTTTTCTCCTTGCTTGCCCATAGGAGCCATAACCTTTTAACGTAAAAAGGTGAAAATCAGCCTGATTGTTTACACTCGTCTAATCCCCTCTCTCATCTGAACTCTCTCTTTCCTTTTTTAAGGGGGGCGGGGAGGGTAGTGTGTTGGTTGTACAAGGGTCTATAAATCTTAACGCTGCCGTAGCAACCAGTCGGGTTACCATCATGTGGATATTTTTCATCCTCATCAGCAATTTTTGGGCTTTGCGTGGGATTTTGAGGGAGTTACTAGATACTTTACTTTTGCCGTTCTCCCATTTGGATTAAGCACCGCGTGTTTTTGCTTTACCAAGCTTTTTCGCCCTTTAGTTAGGAGATGGCGGCTGATGTCCCACAACTGTTTTGTGTATTTAGATGACGGGATTTCAGGTCAGCATGACTATGTTTCTGCTCGAGCTGCTAGTCTTATTCAGCGTTCGGATTTAGCTTCGTCTGGCTTCATCCCTAATGAGTGTAAATCACAATGGGAGCCTGTTCAGGTTGGGGAATGGTTGGGATTCCTCATTAACACTATTCAATTCATGTTTCAAATACCAGAAGCCAAGCTGGCTAAGTTAAAGCGTTCTCTAGAGTCCATGATCCTGGATGGCTACGCAACCTATCGGGAGTTGGCTCGCCTTGCCGGTTTCATCATTTCGCTTTCCCTAGCAGTTGGCCCTATTGCTCGTCTATTCACAAGACAGATGTACTTTTTATTCAGTCCAGGCCCTCGTGGGATGTCTCGTTTACCTTTTCCGAGGCCCTATTGCAAGAGCTTAAGTTTTGGCTTCAGCATATCGATTCTTTTAATGGGTATTCTATTAGGGGTGTCTTTTGTGCCGAGTCTACTATTTATACCGATGCTAGCGATTTTGCATTCGCGGCTATTTAGCCACTCTGGGTGGTGAGCCAGTTCGGGTATGTTTTCCCGGCTGACGTTGATTCGAGTTCTACTTACCGCGAGTTGAAAGCGGTATTCTATGTTTTGAAGTCATCGCCCGTCAGTTTGAAGCATCAGAGAGTGAAAGTTTTGCCTGGTACTTGGAGCAGGCCTTATCCTCCAAGATTATATGGTTTTCTTGCATTGTTATTTAGCGTAGAAACTGCATTTCAGTCAGCTGGTCATATATATATAATGCGTGATTCCAATTTTGCTCCTACCCAAAGGCGATTGGGAAGGCCCTGGGGACGAGTAACGTCACACAGTGCGTCACGCAACCTCTTTCCCTGTTCTTCGCAGGACACGACTGTGGCTTCTTCTGGTTGTGTCCCTTGCTCAAAGTCCTGGGCCCAGCATTCAATTGAAGCCTTAACAGTGTAGAATCTCGAGGACTTTGTATTCAAAATGGCCGAAAGCAGTGTTCACGGTAAGTGATACATTTACTGCATTGACAAACTGCCACAAACGTGCATGCAACTCTGAACTGTGAAAGAAAGGTTCCATATGAAGTGCACTAGAAGTTTAGTCGATTTTCTCAGTTAGAAAATAATCGTTCTTATGCATTACAGTTCAAAATCACGGAGTTACTCAGTAACTAAAGTTACAACATAGCTCAAGGTTTTTGTACAGTGTCTTTGCCAATGCTGCTTCGTACGTTTACCATTTTCACATGACCACAATGCACCTTGTTTACACACCTGGCCAGCAAGTAGGCAAGCTCTCTGGGGTGCAAAAAGGAAGGGAAAGCTTACCATCACGTCTCAGAATTTGAATTCCACCTCCAGTGCCCCCTCTAGCACTATCAGATTTTGGGCAAGCAAAGCAGAGCCATTGTGAGCTTGAACTGCAAACAAACATAGTGAAAGAACGTTGAGATAACAAGCAAACAAAACCCTGAAAGTAGCACAGATGAAAAAAGAGGGTAGACAAAAAAGTTCTCAAATTGTCGGTTCTGTGGTCAAGTCTTTGAGAGTGCCAAGAAAACTTGAGCGAGATCAGTATTGGAGAGCTATAGGAACTTAGTGACTTCGTCCTACCAAGATCCTGTTTAAGATCCCACAGGAACCTAGAGGAAGATATGGAATAAAGTGACCTACTAAGATCCTGTTTAGGATCTTACAAGCACTTATAGGAAGCTATTGACATAGTCCTACCAAGATCCACTTTCATAGGATCCAACGGGAACCTATAGCAAGCTATTGACTTAGTCCTATCCTACCAAGATACTGTTTAGGATCCTACAGGAACCTGTAGGAAGCTATTGACTTAGTCCTACCAAGATACTGTTTAGGATCCTACGGGGACCTATAGGAAGCTATTGACTTAGTCCTATCCCACCCAGATCCTGTTTAGGATCCTACAGGAACCCATAGGAAGCTATTGACTTAGTTCTACCAAGATCCTGTTTAGGATCCTACAGGAACCTATAGGAAAAATATTGACTTTTCCTTCCAAGATCCTGCTCAGAATCTTACAGCAACCCATAGGAAAAATAATGACTTCGTCCTTCCAAGATCCTGCTTAGAATCTTACAGAAACCTATAGGAAAAATATTGACTTAGTCCTTCCAAGATCTTGATTAGAATCTTACAGAAACCTATAGGAAGCTATGGATTTAGTCCCAATAAGATCCCGTTTAGAATCCCTTAAGCCTGGTTTTCACTAGAGCATAAGCACAAGCATATGTGTATGCAAGTGAAAACTGGGTCAACATACAGCATAATCACAAGAAAAAAGGACACGTTCGTTCTTCTTGTGGTTGTGCTTATGGTTATGTCGTAACTTTGACTAGTGAAAACGGGGTCAACATAAGCACATTAGCATAAGCACAAGGCCGTGGGCCAATCATAATCATTTATTGACTAAGATCCTGTTTAGAATTCCTTAAGCCAGGTTTTCACTAGAGCATGAGCATAAGCACAAGCACATGTGTATGCTAGTGAAAACTGGGTCAACATAAAGCATAAGAATAAGCACAAGGCCGTGGACCAATCATAGACCACTTTGACCCAGACCTCATGTGAACATAGTCAAAAGCAACATGTTGAATGAAGCATCTGCCATCTTGTTTACGATCGGGTTGAGGAGAGCTGGTATCGAAAATTCAGACAAATATGCCATTCTGCACATGAGTATGTCCTTATGCTTATGCACTAGTGAAAACAAGGCTTAAGGAACCTATAGAAAGCTATTGACTTAGTCATAACAGGATCCTGTTTATTATTCTACAGGTACCTATAGGAAGTTATTGACTTAGTCCTACCAAGATCCTGTTTAGGATCCTACACGAACCTATAGGAAATTATTGACTTATACCTACTAAGATCCTGTTTAGGATCGTACAGGAACCTATAGGAAGCTATTGACCTAGTCCAACCAAAATCCTGTTTAGGATCCCACAGAAACCTATAGGAAGCTATTGACCTAGTCCAACTAAGATCTTGTTTAGGATCCTACAGGAACCTATACGAAATTATTCACTTATAACTGCCATGAACCTGTCTAGGATCCTACAGGAACCTATAAGGAAATTATTGACTTGGTCCTACCAAACTCCTGTTTAGGTTCCTATGGGAACCTCTAGGAAGGTATTGACCTAGTCCAACCAAGATCTTGTTTAGGATCCTACAGGAACCTATAGGAAGCTATTGACTTTGTCCTACCAAGACACTGTTTAGGATCCTACAGGAACCTATAGGAAGCTATTGACTTAGTCCTACCAAGATACTGTTTAAGATCCTACAGGAACCTATAGGAAGCTATTGACTTAATCCTACCAAGATCCTTTTTAGGATCCTACAGAAACCTACAGAAAGCTATTGACTCAGTCCATCGAAGATCCTGTTTAGGATGCCATTGGAACCTATAGGAAGCTATTGACCTAGTCTAACCAAGATCCTGTTTAGGATCCTAAAGGAACCTATAGGAAATTATTGACTTAGTCCTACCAATATCCTGTTTAGGATCCTACAGGAACTTGTAGGAAATTATTTAGTTATACCTACCAAGATCCTGTTTAGGTTCCTACAGGAATCTATAGGAAATTATTGACTTTTACTTACCAAGATCCTGTTTAGGATCCTACCAAGATCTTGTTTAGGATAGGTCAAGAGCTTCCTTTAGGATCCTACAGGAATCTATAGGAAGCTATTGACCTAGTCTAACCAAGATCCAGTTTAGGATCTTACAGGAACCTATAGGGTGCTTTTGCTGTGCAATCGATTTGGACTTTCGACTGACCAAGCGCTGGGGCGAGTCAAAAAATGATTCAATACAATAAAACGCCTGCTCTCAGGCTATAATTCACCTATTTGGAGAAGAAGGAGCACAATTGTTTAAAAAGTCAGCAGTCGATCTTAATCCTGCCTTTTACCCCTAGCCTGCATTTTAGTCTCAGTCTGCAGTCTGCATTTTACCCCTGGTCCGCAGTCTGTGTTTTACACTGACTGTAAAAGTTATTAACTTACCGGTAGTCCAACCAAGATCTTGTTTAGGATCCTACAGAAACCTATAGGAAGCTATTGACTTAGTCCTATCCAGATCCTGTTTAGGATCCTGTAGGAACCTATAGAAAATTATTGACTTATACCTACCAAGATCCTGTTTTGGATCCTACAGGAACCTATAGAAAATTATTGACTTAGTCCTTCCAAGATCCTTTTTAGGATCCTACAGGAACCTATAGGAAGCTATTGACTTAGTCCTACCAAGATCCTGTTTAGGATCCTACAGGAACCTATAGGAAATTATTGACTTCGTCCAACCAAAATCCTGTTTAGGTTACTATGGGAACCTATAGGAAGCTATTGACCTAGTCTTACCAAGATACTGTTTAAGATCCTACAGGAACCTATAGGAAGCTATTGACTTAGTCCAACCAAGATCCTGTTTAGGATCCTACAGGAACCTATAGGAAATTATTGACTTAGTCCAACCAAAATCCTGTTTAGGTTACTATGGGAACCTATAGGAAGCTATTGACTTATACCTACCAAGATCCTGTTTCGGATCCTACAAGAACCTATAGGAAGGTATTGACCTAGTTCAACCAAGATCTTGTTTAGGATCCTACAGGAACCTATAGGAAGCTATTGACCTAGTCCTACCAGGATCTTGTTTAGGATCCTACAGGAACCTATAGGAAGCTATTGACTTCAACCTACCAAGATCCTGTTTAGGATCCTACAGGAACCTATAGGAAGCTATTGACTTAGTCCTACCAAGATCCTGTTTAGGATCCTATAAGAACCTATAGAAAATTATTGACTTATACCTACCAAGATCCTGTTTTGGATCCTACAGGAACCTATAGAAAATTATTGACTTAGTCCTTCCAAGATCCTTTTTAGGATCCTACAGGAACCTATAGGAAGCTATTGACTTAGTCCTACCAAGATACTGTTTAAGATCCTACAGGAACCTATAGGAAGCTATTGACTTAATCCTACCAAGATCCTTTTAGGATCCTACAGGAACTCAGTCCATCAAAGATCCTGTTTAGGATGCTATTGGTATCTATAGGAAGCTATTGACCTAGTCTAACCAAGATCCTGTTTAGGATTCTACAGGAACCTGTAGGAAATTATTGACTTGTGCGTACCAAGTTCCTGTTTAGGATCCTACAAGTACCTATAGGAAGCTATTGACTTATACCTACCGAGATCCTGTTTAGGATCCTCCAGGAACCTATTAGAAGTTATTGACTTAGTCCAACCAAAATCTTGGTTAGGATCCTACAGCAACCTATAGAAAGCTATTGACTTCGTCCTACCAAGATCCTACAGGAACCTATAGTAAATTATTGACTTAGTCCAACCAAGATCCTGTTTAGGATCCTACAGGAACCTATAGGAAGCTATTGACTTATACCTACTGAGATCCTGTTTAGTATCCTACAGGAACCTATAGGAAGCTATTGACTTAGTCCAACCAAGATCCTATTAATTTATTTTAGGATCCTACAGGAACCTATAGGAAAGTATTGACTTAGACCTACCGAGATCCTGTTTAGGATCCTACAGGAACCTATAGGAAGCTATTGACTTAGTTATTGACTTAAAGCTTATTGACTTATTGACTTACAGGAACCTATAGGAAATTATTGACTTATACCTACCAAGATCCTGTTTAGGATCCTACAGGAACGTATAGGAAATTATTGACTTATACCTACCGAGATCCTGTTTAGGATTCTACAGGAACCTATAGGACATTATTGACTTATACCTACCGAGATCCTGTTTAGGATCCTATAGGAACCTATAGGAAGCTATTGACTTAGTCCTACCAAGGTCTTGTTTAGGATCCTATAGGAACCTATAGAAAATTATTGACTTATACCTACCTAGATCTTTTTTAGGATCCTACGGGGACCCATAGGAAGTTATTGAATGCCAGCTGCTTTAAATTTTATGACGTTTATTCTATGTAGTTTAATTTAATTGTTGACAAATTTTTTTGGAGTTGAATTCTTTTCCCTGTTTTTCACAGAAAAGCTTTACAAAGAGCCTGCAGTTCGTGTACCAAGTCTTCAGCGTCTATCTAAAATTGCTCGTGATCTGGGACTGGACATGGAAGAACGAGAGCTAAAGGAATACCGAGGTAGATTTTTTAAAAATAGGGAAATTTTAAGCTCAAGGTTTGTAAAAAGTTTTAATGATGTACAAACAATCCGTGGTATTTAACAGGGGCTGTTTAAAAGTCTGGGTGTTGTGTACTATTGTTACAGAGGCTATTTCCAAGACTCTGGGTGATACATACCAGCGGTTGTACGAGTTACCAGACCCCAAGCTCCCGGTCAAGTATCCACGGACACCAGGTTACAGGCCGTCAGCAGAGGAAAACCCTTACAATGCTTGGTGAGAGACAGCTGTCCATCAAAGAGCCGAAATTCAAGCCTTCTCCTCACGTGATAAAACTCCCGAGAGAGTTTGCTACTTGAGGAGACAGCTGAAATTTAGGCTATCAGCTATCAAAAAAAGACAATTTGTTAATGTTCCCTGCTTATTCAAAAAAGTATCGTTAGACTTAACAACCTCTTCTTATTCGTAACTTTGCCTTGAAATCCCACACTCGCTAATGACAACCCTCCCCCCCCCTAAAACTGTCTGTTTAAATCCCTTAAGCTTTAGTTGAAGTCAGCATCTACCCGGCCATTTTCTGTCTTCTTTACCTCTTTTCTCCTTGCTTGCCCATAGGACCCATAACCTTTTTACGTAAAAAGGTGAAAATCAGCCTGATTGTTTACACTCGTCTAATCCCCTCTCTCATCTGAACTCTCTCTTTCCTTTTTTAAGGTTGGCGGGGAGGGTAGTGTGTTGGTTGTACAAGGGTCTATAAATCTTAACGCTGCCGTAGCAACTAATGTTTGACGTTCAGCCTTGCCAAACTCTAAACAATTATTTGATCTTTGGGGTTTTGTGATATCCGGAATAATCAAGCTTATTACCGAGCCCTTGGTTATTCTGCATATAACAAACCTGAATCTTATACATTCCCTTGAAGAAAATAACGAGTGGCACACCGCCGCACGGAACACAGTTTGACATTGCATTTAGAAATCGCGCGTTGGGCTCGCAACCTACAGATAAGTAAGTCATCTTCTTGCAGATGACTAACTATTATGCAAGTTGCACTGATTTTCAAAATTAACTGTGGGCTTTTAGCCAATGAGAGGGGAGATAGCGAGCACAGTGAATAATAATTTTAATCATTAATTGCCGCTAGATGTTAACAGTGATGTCCAACGTAAGGTATTACCCAAACGAACCACAGATTGTTTGTGGACTATTTCAATGAATTTGCTTTCGTTTGCTCATGCTTTGGTATACTTCTTAGTGATCTTTCAACGTTAGGAGCGATGATTTCAATCACTGTGGTTGATTGGTTCAATGGTTATTGGGCGTTTTACGAGTCATTGGATTAAACCTAGGAAAACTTACATTGCGAGATATGGCGATAAGGTTTTCCCGGGCCTGCACGAATACTTTCCAGTAAGTGAGAAAGGTGTTATTCAGTCAGTGACACAGACCGCTCGGAAGAAAAAATCCAAGTACTCTTTATAGAAGTGGAACCTATGACCTTCTGGATACTAGTCCAGATACTTTACCACTGAGCTACAGGAGACTCGTTGGAGCTAAGGACCCTACACTAGGTTCATGTATACTGCTAGGACTGGAAAGTCAATGTGTGCTTACGCGTAATGATCTAAATGTGATGGCGAATTTTAAATCCTGGTGAATACATGAGAATGATGTTTTTTTAGTTAGTGAGACAGGCGGCTCGGAGGAAGAATGTGAGTACCCCCAATAGGAGTCAAACCTATGACCATTTGGTTACTTGTCCAGTCACGCTCTACCACTCAGAGCTACAGCAGGGGTCTCAGTCGTGGGTGCTAAGGCCACTAAACTAGGTTCATGTGACAAACATCCTGCATACTGCTAGGACTCGAATGTCAATATGTGCTAAATATGGGCATTGCCAGGAATGTTATTTCCAGTAAGTGTCGTTTTAATATCAGGTACTGGCGCTGTGACATCAAAGGAGCACCAGGTGGTAAACTGAAAGGCAAGACAGTTGCCATTAAGGATAACACGTGTGTAGCAGGTGTACCCATGATGAATGGTTCCCGGATATTGGAGGGCTTTGTCCCGGATATCGATGCCACTGTGGTGTCCCGGATACTGGATGCTGGTGGACATATAGTCGGCAAAGCTGTTTGTGAAAACTTGTGCTGTGATGCTGGGAGTTTCAATGCTGCCACGGGGCCAGTGGTGAATCCACACAATAAAACAAGGATGGCTGGAGGTTCGTCCGCTGGATCGGCTGCTTTGGTGAGTCAATTATATTAAATGATAAGCCGACCTGAGAAAATCTTGGAAAACTTTTCTTAGTTGAGGTCTTTCGCTTGATTTTTTTCAGACGATTACAGTATATTTATATTAGTTATCAAACTTTCTTTTCCGTTTTCTTAAGGTGGCCGGAGGACAGGTTGACATGGCAGTCGGTGGGGATCAAGGAGGCTCAATAAGGATGCCTGCTGCCGCGTGTGGTATTGTGGGATTGAAACCCACGTACGGACTGGTGCCATATACTGGCATCGTGTCGATAGATTTCACATTGGATCACGCGGGACCTATGGCAAGGACTGTTTACGATACAGCTTTGATGCTAGAAGTAAGGACAGAGTTATTTTTTGAAGCCCTCAGATAAATCATCCACAAGAAAAATTATTTACAGCTTTTCTTACACCGGCGTCACAGCCATTTTTACCATAGGAGGCATTTAATTAGACTACGAGCAGTCTGTCTTTGTTCTTTGTGCGTCAAGCGAAACGCTCAAGACACAAAAATGACCACGCGCGTGACTGAAGGCTCGAGACGGGCTGCCGCGCTCGCGCGCACGTGCACTCTCCTCACTACGAAATCTGAAGAAACAGGGAGACTACTCTCAATCTGGGATTTAATTTACATTAAAAGCAACCGTGTCATATCAAGGCTATTCTATTTTCTATTCTCTTTAGTAAAATCGTTTATGTGGCCGATCAATTTCGGTGAATGTACACTTGCGAAAATGTTTATCAATGTAGTTCAGTTCACTTTCGCATTTAGTGATGTTTACTATTCTAAACACTTTTATTTACTGCCATGGTCTTTGATTGGTTGATTCTCAGGCTTGTCCGTCCGTAGCAGCCAGTTTGTCGCTTACAGCTCAAACTGGCTGCAGTTCGTGCGATTTTGCAGTTTTGAAAATGATTAGCTCACAGGAACAAATTAAGTTACTAGTAACTATGGCTAGTTGCCTTCTGTGAGCGACCTAAAGAATGAACTTTTGACAGGTTATGGCGGGGTATGATGAAGGACTGGACCCAAGACAGCCACGTGACCTACACGTTCCAGAGTATACGTCACTGGTACGTAATTAGTCGTTTTGTATCATTACCCTTTTAATTTTGCAAGTGTAAGATCTGTTTATATTCGCCATTAGTTAAACTATGGCTCGTCGGCCTTGATGCGCGATTTTTCCTCAATCACCGGAAAGGATATATGTGGAATTGACCCTATTTTTCTCTTTACTTAGCTCGGGGCTTCAAGTGTCCCTATATTTCCTATATTTTTAAACTTTCCCTGTATTTCCCTATTTAGTTTGTAAATGCCCTATAATCCCTATAACTCCATCAGAAAATACAAATAGACTAAAGTTCATGAACTTCTGTTGGTGGAATGTGACAAAGACAGTGAATTTTTCGGACCATCCAAGACCAAACTGGTAATATGTTTATTATTAGTGCATGTAAGAATACTTAATTTGATGCTGCTGTGAGCAGTGATTCTTTATTCAGATATTGTTCAGATCTTAGAAGGAGTATGTATGCGGCAACTTTGTGTGCACTCGTTTTTCAAATGGAAGGGGATCGATCAATAATTGGTTGCTTTTAAAGTAGCCAGTAGGAAAATAAGAATTTCAATCTGTGATGAGGTATCTCTAATAATGTGCAAGGTTAAAGCTCAGTCTGACAGAACGACTGTACCATTCTCTAGGCTAATGTTGCTCCTTCAATTGCAACGGAAGACAAAACCAATGCTGCAAATGATAAGGTTCACGTAGAGAACAAGAACTGTGGTCTTGCCTGATCAGAAAGTGGCACTTTTGAGTAACCGAATATTCGCAAGCAAAAGGAATTACATATGAAGACACTGTGCTCCACTCCAAAGATTCGCCTTATCCACAAAAAAGTGGAGGGTATCAGTCGTCAAGTACAATTCTCCATACCTGGTTTGTTGATGTACCTTCGAGTTTAAGCTATAATTCCTTCTTTTAAGTTTGGATCTGTAGATCACTCTTCATTAGAATTCTTCATCTTGCAAGCGTCTCTAAAACTCTGGGCCCAGCCCAACAAAACATAGCAGGGAGTCATTGTTTAAAGGGACAAAGCAACTCTACATTCAAGCATTTTGGAGCAAACTATAGAAACTAAAACCTTTATCAACGGGTTATTGAGTTGCAGTATCAAGGTTAACGCTTCAAAAGTGGTCACATTCTGTCAGAAACAAAAACCACCAGAAATCAGTAGGTTTAAAACAAATGAGCTTCATGCCCTCTCAATGTGAGAAAAACTCGACAGCTTGAGCTACCCGCCAGAAAATAAAAAGGGGCTTAAACATGACGTTAAAGTTGTACAGGCATACCAATTTCACTGTTTCACCTAGAAAGAATTCTAACGGTTGCAAAACACAAGAACAGCATTTTCACCGTACTTCTTTAGGGTCAGTGTGTGTATTAATCTAGGTACATTTTTTTGCGTGTTCAAAGTTAGTGACCTTATTCTCTACTAGTGTTCACAATGTTGGACTAAAACGTATTGTGTTCCTAGACTACGAGTAGTCCCCCATTTTTCCTCAGGGATAGTAGAGCGAGCGAAACGCGAGCGGGCGTGAAAATCACCCCACGCGAGAAAAGGCGACACGCGGCGGGGAGAGAAAAGAATCTCTCTCCCCGCCGCGTGTCGCCTTTTCGCGCGTTGGGTGATTTTCACGCCCGCTCGCGTTTCGCTCGCTCTACTATCCCTGAGGAAAAATGGGGGACTACTCGTAGTCCATTGTGTTCCTTACCTTCTGCAGAGTTGCAAAACTGGCACTGGATAAAATACGCTTTAAAAAATCCCTATATTTTCCCTGTTATTTTATCATTTTCCCTATATTGGCCCTATAGTTTTGAAAAATTGCCCCTATATTAAGCCCTATATTTTTGCTTAAGGCCACTTGAAGCCCTGTAATAGCTTTACAGTGATTCCCGGCGAAGACAAAGTCAAGAAGAGAACATCATGTTTGCTTAATTTCGCTATCCTATGCTTTGCCATCGGTGGAGAAATCTTGTGCTATTAAAGTTTTCACTGAGTTCAATCGAAAATCAGAACCAACCAAGTTGACGCTATCTATATAATATGTTTTCTATCAGCTGACAGGGAAGATAGAAAATCTAAAGATAGGAATCTTGAAAGAAGGGTTTGGTTTAAACATCTCTGAGCCAGATGTTGACGAGATGGTGAAGAAAGCCGCTGGACAACTGAGCAGTAAATACGGCACAGTCATCGAGGAAGTTTCAATCCCAATGCATTCAGATGGTAAGTGGTGTGTGAACTATTTTACGTTAGAGATTTCTTTGAGTTATAATAATGATTATGTACAATATTAAAATACACGGAAAAGGGCACCGAAGAGGGAAATTTACCGGTAATGTCATTCATCTTATAGGAATAACAGCTGCTTACAAATTCGAAATTTTTGTGGGTCCAAAGTGACCTGGCCTTTGAGTCGCAGTGAGGCTTAAGTTTGGCACTTTTTTGCTTATTTTTATGTAAATAGACGTTTGATATGAAAAGGATATTAAATACTACTTATTATCCGAGAGTGGGGTCATTGGGGTCATTACAGAGAAATCTCAGACCGAGATTTCCCTGTAATGACCAAGTCATTAAGTTATTTATCATATGGCCTTTTCATTACGGACCTGAGTATGCGATCAATTAAAACCAGTAACTAGTCAGCGGATAACTTTAAAAAACACGTCACCTCAATGATTTGTACACTTGAGCCCGCGATACAGTCGGCTGACACTGGTCAGTGGATAGTCTTTTTGACAGCTGTCAATTGACCATAACATGGATGTCCATAGGGATGTCTACCATCAAGTTGAACACAGATTGCATATGCCTTGGACACCTAGCTAGTAATGCCCAGTCATTACAAGTAAACAGCCAACAAGAGCGTGCGTACTACTGTAGCCATTTAATATAATAATGTGATTTCTTTTCTAAAATGAGTGTTAAAGGTAGTATTAATGCCTTTAAATATCTTTTCTTTCGCTTCGCTAAGCTTTAAGATTGTCCTATAATTTCGCTCCACATGTCAATCACCCAATTAGAAGTAAGAGACCAGCACCAATAGTCATTCAAAGAGGACAGACGGCAAACTGTTGTTGGTCGAAATATTTTCATCTATATGTTTGAACTGTTAGGCTGCGAGATCACCCGTAACGCGCGAGGGATATCGTCATGCACGCGGGCGGAACGCGAAAGGAGACTTGATAGCAAGGAACCCCTTTCTGTTAGGCTGCGAGATCACCCGTAACGCGCGAGTGGCGAAGCAAGGCCGCAAGTAGCATGTGAGCAACAGAGTTCTCCATTTGAGGGATATCGTCATGCACGCGGGCGGAACGCGAAAGGAGACTTGATAGCAAGGAACCCCTTTCAGGTTTGACCCTCGCTCACCCGTTCCCTCGCGACTCGCTTGGCTCGCAAACCGAAAATTATATGGAAAGCTTGCGCGCAGGTTAGGCCACCAACCTCGTCCCTAGAGTTGTAACTTTTCATGCCTTGCGGCTTTGTCCCCCGCTTGATATCTCTGGACACAAACTTCGATTAAAAAGAGGAGCTTGCTCGCGGTCTTATCTTGGAAAAAAAGACTCTTTCAATCTTCTCCTTTCAAAACGCAGAAAATGCAATATTTCAAGGAATCTCTTTTTCACATTGCAGCCAGGCATCTTATCGTTGGATTTCGAATGTTGTTCGAAGGGAGTGGTAAGTAATTGTTCTTTTCATCTTAGGGGATTAATTCACGGTAGTTAAAAAACCATTTTGTTTTATTAGTTTTAGGGAACTTAAGGTTCCGGAGTGGGTCTAATGACCATGTAGAAAGGGTGGCCCCATCTCCAAAGGGGTTTAAAAAAAAAAACAGCGCTCTAATAAATGAATTACCACTCCATGATATATACACTGGCAATTAAATAAAGGCGTTTTTGGCACACTGTTTCTAGGTTTTGGTTCATATGGAAAGATGTACTATGACACCACTCTTCAAGAGGCTTTTTTTCGAGGCCTGAAATGCCACTCCAACGACTTGCCAGCAACCGGCAAAATGGCTAGGCTAACTGCAAAGTATTTGCACGACGAATACAACAGCGTTTCCTATGGAAAAGCGCAGAACCTCGGGCGAGTTCTTTGTAGAGCTTATGACGAAGCACTCGAGAAGTATGACGTGTTGATTTTACCGACAGCTCCGAAGAAGGCTTTAGTCTTCCCAAAGGAGAGTGTCTCGCTGTCAGGTAAGGTTGTTTCTTTTTATGTTGGAAGTCGCGTAATTACTGATCCTGGTAACCAACTCAATCTCTCCACTCGCACTTAAGAATTTCACCCACACACAAGAACCACCTTGAACAGCACTACACACAGTGATTCCATTTATAATATGGCTGATTCCGCGAGAGGGCAAGATGAAACGAATCCTGTGTTCTAATAGAGAGAAGAAGTCGTTAAATCACGTTCCCATGGTAGCAAAATTTCTGAATGACAACAAACCAAAAATTCACTTAAGAAGTGAATTCGCACTCTTTCAAACTTAATCGATCTTATTCAGCTTCATTTAATTTGTCAAATGTTGGCGAAATTTTCTGGGGTTGAATCCATAAGGACCGTATTTATGTTAAGAAAAAGAAAAGGAAAATTTTTTTTGTGTTTACCTGCTCCATAAAGCAAGCGCGTCCTGCAACGAAGGCTAAGAAATGTAAAAAAAAGCGTGATGCACGTGCAAAGTTGTTGTTTTGCTAATATAATGTTCTCGTTGCCGTCGCCGTCGTCGTTGCTTAAACTCCCTATTGTTGTGGTCCAGAAATATTGCTACCATGGTAACATGACGTCCAACTTTTCCTCTCAAGGTCTTAAAATTTAATAAGCGCCCAGGGTGATTAATCGAATAAATACGGTATTTCGTTGCTTTTTCCGGCGTTACTCTTTATGAGGTTGTACAAGGTGCCGAGTTTTTATGCATGGATGAAGTCCTAATGCGGCGGTAGAAGGTGTAGTGCAGGTCATATTCAGTGAAGTATTTCTAAGAGGTTTTTTGTAAAGTGTAAGTATTCAAATGAAAGCTACGGGGAAACGGGCTCTTTGTAATAATTTAACACTCAACGTTTGTCTTGTAGAGCTCTTGGAACTAGCATATATCAATAGCAGAAACACATGTGCTTGCAACGTGACTGGGCACCCAGCTCTGTCAATCAACGCAGGATTTAGCGAGGGTTTACCAGTTGGAATGATGATTGTTGGAAGAAAGTTTGATGAAGCCACTGTTCTTAATGTCGCCTATGCTTATGAGAAGATCAGAGATACCACAAATTAAGGAGGTGGCGCGGCCGAGCGGTTACAGCGCTGGATTTGTAATTCAGAGGCCGCGAGTTCAAGTCCTACCCTGACTGCTAGCAGGATTCGTTCTCGGTCGTTCCGAGTTCAAATTCTCGGCCACGTTTGTGTAAAAGATATCCTACTGATTTGCCTCCTGCTAATCGGGGTTCTTAACCATGTTATGTTCACAACTATTGTCCCGGGAAAACCCAATGGCATCCTTAAGAGATGTTCACGGGCGAATTTTTACTTGTTTTATAAAAACGATTCTCGAGCAGTGTTCACATGGAAACGCTTTTAAATGGAGATGGTCACACCAGGAGCGTAGCTTCCAACACAGTGTTCACATGGAAACACTTCTAAATGGAGATGGTCGCACCAGGAGCGTAGCGTGGGAAAAGAAAATATATTTTTTGTTTGCTGAAAGCATTTTTATCATTGAATCGGGATGACTGATCAATTTTTCGCATTATGTTGGTGTCTTTGTGTTATTCTGAGGGTAAACGTCTCGCCCGTTGCTGGTAACCTACTTGATGGCGTCACTATTTTACCCTTTTTCCGTAAACACTGTACCTTACCGATAAGTCTAGAGATGGGTAAAATAAACAACTAACTACAGTATTTTCCTTCGTATATGTTTACTGGAAATGTCCTGCGGACAACGGCGACAAGAAATGGCATTTCCGAGACGAAAAATTTTCTGGGGGGGCATGTGCGCAGGTCCCATTGTGCCTAGTTTAGAGAGCGAATGCGCTCTAACTTCTCTTTTAGTACGTACACCTTCAAAATCGTACTTTCTGTTCCTGCTTTACGTGTTAACTTGGGCCGTTCCGGGGCGGTACCCGTTCTGGTCCTTTAAAAGGCTACCCTTTGTCTTCAATAGTTCAATCTTTATCGCCACGTCATGTCAACCGAGCTTCCTCAGTAACAATTCATAATTTTTTCGGGGATTTTCCTGATAAATTATTTTAAAATTATTTTGTCTGTGACGCGCTTCCAGTTTTAATAGCGACGACATCTATCAATTAGACTCGCTATAGTTTGATTCTTTATCCGCTGGAGACAAAAGTTCAATGAATTGATCCTTAAGCTTTTCCCACAAGAACTGCCTCCAATCAACCTGCAAAGCGGGAAGTCGCACAATTAGAACAATACTTAAACTTGAACCTGACCCGGCACATTTGTTCAAGAGGCCGATGACTCTATCTAGCCTTTGAATTATCAGTTACTTCTAGTAAAACTAAATTAGTGTCTTTATATCGGCGGGACAAAACATACAAGCTTCATTCAGACCAACGTCATGCTTAGCAGCGCAAGGCGCTGGAAACATGAAAAACAGGCAGCCTTTTGTAGCCAGTGTCTTAAGAGCGGTAAAGAAAAAAAAGCAGCGCGAGCCAAGAAGTACTCAGGATTTGGCGAGAAACATGCGCCCGGTTTCCAAGCGCGGGAAAAAATATAACCGGTGCACGTGTGAAAAGCACGTGACACTTGTTAGGGCCGGGTCTAGAATGGGTTTAAAGGTACGAAAAAGCGGGCATCAAACACCGACGTGCAACTTGTTTTGCAAAATTGCTGCAAAACGAGTTGAATAGCGATGTTGCGCGTTCAAACCTGTCTTTCAACAAAGCAGCTTGTTGCAGGTTGCGAAAAGTTGTTGCAGAAAGTAGAGAGTAGTTCTATTTCTTGCAACAAAATCTGAAAAGGTTGCGCGTTTTACCGGCCTAAGGCAAACTTGTTTTGCATTAAGTGACGTATTTCCCGTGTATACCGTGACCCCCTTGTTCTATCATTCACGCAACTTGCAAGACAGGTTTGAACGTGGGTGGTAAAACACGCAACATCGCTTTTAAACTCTTTTTACCGCAATGTTGCAAAACAGGTTGTACGTTTTCGCTGCCCGTTTGACCGCAGATTTTGTCGCAAAAAGCAAAAGTACTTCTACGATCACGTTCAATAATCAATAACACTGCATATTTCAATAAACTGAAGTGCGCAATTAAATTGTTCACGTATTCTTACCATGACTTTGTGTGTTCTCACGTGTCGTGGATTCTTGCAAAAATATCTAAGTTTTTTGGCCAGTTGCTGTGGTGTTGAGTACAGATATTCCGCTAAAAATAAGGCAAATTGCATCCTTTACGTAAGTATCCTTCTGAAAAATTCAAAGGATGAGACTTTATAATAACATTGCATAACTTTGTACCCCAAACCTCGTAAACGGTCTGCTGTTCAATAACAGAGAACTCTTTTATTCGACATAGTATTGAATTTTTTCATTCTTAAGTTATTTACGCGTAATAGTGAGATAACAAGCTAGTATTTTTTCAAATTGCCGTCAAGCTCTCTGCTGATCTTAAGTCTGTAGTCTCTACTGGAACCAGGGGGGTGGAAATCCGGATTTCAAGTGGCAGGGATGATCAAAGGATTTTGGGGGTTTGAAATTTTCGATTTCAGGATTTGGGTAGGAAAATTTTGGCAAGTATTTTTTTGGCTACCTTCATTTAAGTAGGGATTTTTTGGGGTAATCAAAACGATGTGAAGATTCGTGATAGCTACATCGTTCCATGCTTTCTGGAAATTTTTATTGCTCAGAAATTTGGCATGGGATTTTTGGGGTGTTAAATGTTGGTCCAGGATATTTTTGGGTTTTGATTTTTGCCCCCATTCCATCATCCCTGTAACTTGAAATCCGGGGTACCGCCCGCACTTGGATACTGGAATAGGCTAGTCTTTGTGTACAAGTTCAACAGTTCTCACTAGATCATAAGTCCCGGAATCAGTAGCAGAAAATTCCTATACCCATTGCGTTTCCATTTTTTTTATTCACACATGGGCAAGAATTTTTTTCAATGCTTCCATTTCGCTCATTACGTCAAACATGAGAATCTGTCATCAGAGGCTGTGTGTAGCATATTGAACCTCATTATGGGAGTTTTCTTTTTTAACACTTATTAGATAAGCTTCCACACATATAGATTTAGATCGACTGACTACAATGAAAATAATAGTAATAATTAATGATGATAATAATAATCTGTGAGCAGCAGAGACGTCTTTTGGTGGAGAAATGACAACAGTTCAGTCACTTAGTATCTGCAAACGCAAATACATTTATTTGTCAACTTACCAGGAAATATCTCAGGGTACACAAGTTTATTTGGACATAGTGGGTAACAGCCATATTGCACCGACTCCAGCCTGCAAAAATGCAAATATTGGAATTGGAAACACATCAAGTACAATCATAAGTGACATTTTGTACATGCACATAATCTGTGATATCTAATCAAGTCACCTTACATGGAAACACCAAAGAACTCGTGTTCTGCAGTAGAGACAGCCACATCAGCATTCTTTAGAACATTAACATATTCCTGGCGAGATTGCTGGTAGCCCCAGTGAACAATATGTTCCCTGATACATGAAAAGGCTTCTTCAAAAATTTCTAAACAGAGGAAAAAGTATATTCAGTTAGTGAAAAAATATCGTGGTGAGGTTAAAACAGAACCACAACTTGTAGAAATTTCTGATGTCTGATGTCTAACGTCAGATGTCTGATGTCTGAGGTCAGATGTCTGTTGTCTGACGTCTGGTGTCTGATGCCAGATGTATTATGTATGTCTGATGTCTGATTTTGTTGTCTGATGTATTGTCTGGTGTTTGTTGTCTGATGTCTAGTGTCTGAGGTTTGCTATCTGATGTCAAACGTCTGATGTCTGATGTCAGACATCTGATGTCTGGTGTATTATGTCTCATGTCTGATTCTGTTCTCTGATGTATGATGTCTGGTGTTTGTTGTCTGATGTCTAGTGTCTGAGGTTTGTTGTCTGATGTCAAACGTCTGATGTCTGACGTCAGACATCTGATGTCTGGTGTATTATGTCTGATGTCTGATTCTGTTCTCTGATGTATGATGTCTGGTGTTTGTTGTCTGAGGCCAGATGTCTGATGTAAGATGTCTGATGTCAGACGTCTGTTGTCTGATGTCCTATGATGTATGATGTCTGGTGTTTGTTGTCTGAGGCCAGATGTCTGATGTAAGATGTCTGATGTCAGACGTCTGATGTACGTGATGTATGTCTGTTGTCTGGTGTATGATGTCTGAAGTCTGCAGTCTTATGTCTGATGTATGATATCTGATGTCTGATGTATTATGTCTGATGTCTGATGTATTGTTTATGATGTCTGATGTTTGTTTGGTTTAATAGAGGATTTATGGTATTCTTTATAAGAACTTTGACTACAGCTGTCCGAGTACCTGGGACTTCTGAGAATGTCTCTCCTATGACAGAGACTTTGAATTCCAAATTCTGATCAGCTAGCTGATAAAGAGTGTGGAAGAACAGATCTGGACCCTTGTCATGTTCCCTAGTTAATTACATGTGAGAGAAATAAATGTAAAATACACCATAAAATTATTTCACAAGGGTATATAACACAATTGCTGACCAATGGTTTACATTGTGGCCCACAAAATAATAAGGAGACAAACAACTAATAAAATAATTTTTAATTAGTAACAATCTCAAGTGGCCACAGGCAAACCAGTTGGCTATATACCAGCCTGGTAAGCACAGAACTACCAAGAAAATATATCCAGCCAGCAGTTAAGGTGGGGCTCAAGATCAGGGCCTGTGGACTGAAAGTCCAGTGCTCTAACTGCTTGGCAATGCTGGCTCTTTATACTTAAGTCTGATGCTTGCTTCAGCCTGAAGTAGCAGGATTTTCATTAAGAATAATATTGTAGTAGCAGGAGAAAAGTTTAACGTTACGGGAGAATATTTTGAAAGAGAGACTCTATGTCTCAATAAAAATAGTCATAGGCTACTGAACGTTAGCCAGTGAATTCTCTGTAGTAATGCCTAATGAACACCCTGAGTAGTGGCTTTTTGTAGGTGTCCTTGTAAAGTCAGACCACCTTCATGTGCGTGGACTCCAAAGGCATGTTCCTAAACACTAATGTCCGCCATATGGCTGTTCAGAGGTATCTATATTACTGAGATAGGGATTGTATGGATTTTGGAATCTTCTAGAACAAAATGAATGTCTGAAATACATGTACAGTGTCTGCATGTAGAAGAATATTATTGATGCCTGTACTATTATAGACAAAAATACCTTAGGTTTATACAAAGTTAAATGCAAATACAAGTGCCAAAATGAACATTCTTGAACCTTGCTGAATGCAAATAGAAATGGGCTCTATTTAGTTCAACAAGCCATTAATTATCCATTATGAAACGGCCAAGAGATGAGGTTGCATGTGAGATTGGGTCAGTGTTGTGTTGATTTGTATATTAATGGCAATGTTTTGGAGGGAAGCCATCTCTTCCTTTACCAGCTACTACAAAGTTGAACAGGAAACTGGGTCAAACGTTTGCCCCAGAAAACACTCCCATAGAACAATAATTAAAAAACAACACCAACCTAGCTAATCTGCATGCACACCCTCAAAATGGCCAGTTGCACAAAAAGAAACACAGAAATCATAATGGAAGCACATACCATCGGTGAGCCCAAACTATATGCAAGGGTCTTGACATATCTGACTCTGTTTCTGGGTGAGGTGAATTCCAGTTGACTTTCACTATCTTTGGTACAAAAAAAAGAATAAAACTTAACGGCATAACAAGATGTGTTATGCTGCTTGTCACAAGTGTTAAGGGTTCTCCAGGCTTCATGTTCTTGCACATGTGCCTTCACTTTTCTTTGCCTAGTTGTTTCTCCTCTTACATTTTGTTATTATTTAATTGTTTAATTCTTTCTTTCATGTCTTCTTAATCCTCAAACACATTGAGATTTTTATTTTATTTTTTTGTATGCACTGTCCTACCTCGAATAGCCATGCTAGCTGCCGGCAGTTCTTTTGTTATTTTATTTTCTTCTCAATAAAGTTTTGTTGTTGTAATTGTTGTAACCTAATGCTACGTGCAAACGGATGCACAATATTGTTGGATGTTGCATGTTGTTGTGTGTTTTTGGGAGCTGTTGCACAATACTTTGAAACCGGTCAAACTTTTAGCTACATGCAAACAGACACAACAATGTTACGTCAGTTTGCAAGGGATTTAGAGAGAAAACTACACGTAGCTTATCTTAAATAATAGTATCATAAAAAGCTATTGAGATAAATTACAGTGTTTACTTTCTTGTTACCTTTCCACCATTTGTATCAACTACCAAATTTTCCTCATAAATCTCTCCAGCTGGAACTTCATGTACAATCTCCTGCTCTGCACTTGAAGTCCCTCCCATCTGTTCTCTCCCCATAAGAGGAAAGTAAAGAACCTTGCATTTTGGTCTGATAAGCTGATCTAGTCCCTTAGGTCGAAAATCAGGCATTAATTTCAGAAAGCTGCTGATTGATGATAGAAATGATTCCATGTTGAAGGAGGAGTTGAACACAATGACATCAGCTACCAGACTGCCAGACAAACAAATTATGCAATCAACTGTGGAATTCATTGGAGTGTCACTATGTCAAACTCGATAACTCAAACATGTTAATGTTCAGCACAGTGTTACACCTTTTTTTTATATTATAACATCTAATATGACTGTTTATTTTTGGTTGCAATCAGATTTTGTTTTCCAAAAACTTTGAGTATAACAGGCACTTGCAAGTAATATAGGTGCAAGAAACAATGGTGTGTGCAAGGGGGACATGTGAGCTTGCCCCGTTTAATTTTCTATCACACCAATCATTTCCAAGCACCTGCTACACAGGCTATTTTCAGTATTAGGCTGTCTGTAATTTTTTTGTTTTAAGGTACTTTCAAACTTCCAGGAGGGATACAGTTCAAAAGCAGTGCAAAAAAATAGTAATCATAACAAAAGGAAAAGACAAAAAAAGATTAATTCTGGAGGGAGGCAGTTTGCCCAAGTGGTCACAGCACAGGACTTCCAATCTCAAGTCTTGCTCTGACTACAAGCTGGATTTTTATTTTCCCTGGTGGTCCTGTGTTCAACTCAAAGTCATGCTTGAAAATTAACAGCTTACCAGTTTTCTTCCAGCTAGATGGGGTTTTAGTTTACCTTAAGTTTTTATAAGACAAATTAATTTTGTCTTAGATTCTTTCTCAACCCTGATAGCTTTTGAGCAACAAAAGATGTCAAGAGACAATGAATTATTGATAAAAAATAATCATTATTATTATTATCATTATCATAATGATGAAGATGATGATGACGATGACAATGACGATACTGCGTAAATAACCAAGCTTGTATTTGACCTTACCATGATAAAATTTGGTTGTAGCCATACTGAAAATCTCTGTCTTGTTGTTTTCTCACTGGATAAATAAGCTGATTTTCATGGAAGTAAAGGACCTTCTTCAGCCGGGCAAAGTCAGGTCTCAGAGCAACTAATTCAGCTAAATTCAGCACTGAGCTTGCAAACATCACCCTGAAAACACCAGCTTGCAAATTTATATAAAAAGATATTATTTACCAATAGTAATTCATTGGTAATCATTTATACATCCAGACTGAGAAACCTGTTCAGGAAAGTGTAAGGTTACATGTGTATCATAAAAAATGTAATGGTAATCAAACATTAAAATATTCCAATAATATTACAATGTAAATGTCTACTGCTTTCTTAGACCTTATCCACATGAATCTGGGTAGGCGCAACCCACATATGTATTGCATTAAAAAATATCCAGTTTCAATTGTCTCATAGACGGGTTTGCAATCTGTCAGATCCAGAAACCACAGCAGTTTCAAAATAATATGCTTTGGGTGAGGGGTTTCACTGGTTTTAATGTGGATGGAACGCAGATTCATTTAAAAAAAAATACGCAGTTTCCCAAAAAAAATACTGAATCATGTGGATGGGGTCTCACCAGTAGCTGTCATTAAGAGCCGGGTGCCAGGGATTTCCCCGGCTACCATGAATGTGGTCCCCGGTAACTTACATAGGGAAATAGAAGAAAAATAAAGGCAAAAGAAATCCGTAGCTGTTTGATTCCCTTATGAATTTTATATACATGTACCGAGCGTGGGGTATTAAGGACTCATCTCCTCCCACTTTCCTCAAAATTCAACTCTGTTTGGGGAGGAAGGGGAGGGGTTGTAAGATTTACTAATATGACTAAAAAAATTCCCAACACTTTTGACCTCAATTGTAGGGAAAAATGCTCTTTTCCTTTTCCGCAGCCAAAGATGAAGAACTTACTTGTATTTCGTGCAATGGGAAATATTTTGAGAGAACCACAGAGCGGCTGTTCGCATTCTCCAGTGCCATTTCTTTGCAGGCAAACAATGCAACACGCAGCCTGGAATTTCCTTTGTGAGTAAATCGACCAGCTGTTTGTGCGACCCACCATAAAATGGTTCAATCAGAAGAACAGATGTGTTTACATTTAGATCATTTACACTTTCCTGTGGCATTTCATTCAAAAAAAGTCCATTATCAAAGTGTAACCTTTGATCGACTGAATTAGAGTCTGAACATAACTTCTTGTTGACACAGTTCCTATTACAGCTCATATTTTAACGTGATCGTCCATGTAGCAAAGTGCACCATAAGAGCGACTTTTCAACGATGATCATATTTTTAACGGCTCCTTTGAACACTTCCTCCTTCAACTGGCAATTTTTTTGAAAATCGCTCATATCTCTTTGGTTTGCACAACAGTAATTTTCCCGGGTATATATTCCATCATTCGGCCGCCATGTTGAAACAGAAACGCGCATGTACTCATCGTAAAAGCCGCTGTACACTCTACTGCTGACTTATGTTCCAAAATGGCGGCTTCAAGTAGCAGCAACGAATTTCCTTTTAACGACGACCGGGAATTTGAACTGAAACTCGGGAGTAGCTTTCATTCAAAAGGTGGACCAAAGATGGCTTTTCACACCATACGATGTAAGGTTGAGTTTCTTGCAATATTGTTGTTCACACGTTTTGTCGTTAGAACTGAAGAGAGGGCAGCTGTTTATTTTGTAAAGCTAAATAGGGCAAAACAAACGCTAAATCTCAAAGTGAAAGCAAAAGATAACGAGGGATTGAAAGAAAAAATTTCTGGAACATTTTTTCTTTATTGAATTTAATTTTTTGGAAAGTTGTTCGCTCTGTTGTGCCGAACGAGCATCTCCGTGGGAGAAAATAGACGTTGATCAATCTCGGGATCATTGTTGAGAACGAAATAGCCTGCGTAGCTGGCGCTTTTTTTTTTTTTTTTGCTGTTCTTTTCTGGTCCACAAATTAAGAGTTAGAGGGGCGTGAATACTGAACCAAGGCCCTTATATTTGCCTCATAGGTATGTGCTGCCCCAAAGGGTATGGTTTTTGCCCCGTTTTGGTCTGAAAGCGGGTGTAGACTTTGCCTATTTTGGTCTGAATTCGGGTATGGTTTTCGAGGGAAAACTTGAGTTCATAAACGTATTAATTTTGTTGTTTCAATTCCAAATGAACAAGAAAGAATGAGTATTGATGTGCAAATTCGAAATGAATTTTAAGAAATCTTTTTGTTGGCGTTGAAATCTAAGTACATGTACATGTAAGGATGACATAATTTCCGCCTACACCAGTTCTGAAAACAGGTATGGATTTTAGAGGCCAGGTCTGAGAACGGGTATGGAAAATGATTATTTTTTGGTCTGAAGTAGGGTCAGGATTTTAGAGAACTGGGTGGCACACCCCCACCATGAATCCCCAGGAATACCCCGCTATAGCCTGCAAGCAGGCTTACTTGTGCGAATTTGGGGAAAATTATTTTGGCAGCAGAGCTGACATCTAGTGTGTGAATTGGGAATTGATGGACACCCCTTTTAAGGTGTCAAGGTGACTATCCAATAGGAGCAATGCAAAAGTAAACAAACTGACAGAAGTTGAACATGCAGATGTCATGCTAATCTGCATCAGAGGTCAAATACAGTGAGAAACAAATACCAAAGAGATCAATTTTCATAAGCAGACCACTTCCAGACCACTTTTATTTTGACAAGCAGAAAATATAACATTTGCTCTTTTATAACTTAAGCATCCCCCCTTAGCATTATCTACCCGCTAGAAACAGGGCAGCTTCTAAACATGACCTTGGGTGAAACAGACCAACTTCATGATCTTTCAGTGTGAGACAAGTGACAAAAATAGGCTACTGAATTTGCTCAGTCAAAATTAAGAATCCTCCTGTCCGTTTGAGAGAAAATTGTAAATAAAACAAAATAGCATTTGAGGCAAAAGTAGTGCAGGCCTACTGACTCTTTTTATCATTAACTTTGATCCAATGATATGTGAATGTTTGTCCCGCGTGTCTATGGTTTTTGTCACAGCTATGTTGCCTGTCGACGCCTGTCACTTTTAACCAATTAGATCGCTGCATTCGTCAGCAAACGTGGGGTGTTAAAAATCAATAGCTTATAAATATGCAGGCTCACTTTTCCTTGGTCCATTTACCCCATGTGATGGAACATTTCTTTGAACTTGCATAAGTGAGCCTGCTCCCTGAGGTCTGTGTAGCTGGATCTCTAAACAAGGTGACCCCACAAATTATTGTCACTCTGAAAAACACACTGAAAAAATATTTTAAACATTATATTTTCAGGACAGGCTGATGATTCATTTTTGTATGCCAGTAAAAGAGTAATTTTTTTAATTTATTAGTGATTGATACATGTACTATATTTGCTGTTATCATAGATGATTTCAAGCCTGCTTCAGTTGACACCTCAAGACCAGCTGAACTTGTTGTTGGTGAAAAAGATGAGATCACAGTAACAGTTCCCCATGTCCAGGTAAAAATTTTGTTTTTTATTTTACCCATTTGCAATGGGAATGTTTCTAAAAATTGCCTTTAGAGGCTGATTCAGCTGTTTTCTGGTTTTTTCCATTTTCCTCTTGTCTGAATTGTGCTCGTTCTGGTATGATTGGAAAGATCTCCTCACGGTAGCTGCACAAGTTAGATGACAAAGTCATCCTTAAAAAAAACTAATGACTAAAACTGATGACTTCACCATGGTAGGAAGGATGTGGATCTTGCATGGTTGGTTACAGCCAGTTCAGGGGCAAATGAGTTAATCAAAAGCTAAAGTAAATTTGTCTCAACTGCCAATTTTTTCACCCAATTTGGCATTTTATTTTAATTTCAATTTAGTAATGCAGCAAGAATAAACTTTTATAAAGCTCATGCACATTTTTCAGTGGGTAAAAGTAGATTAAGTCCTGTACCAATTTGGGGGACCAGATTTTTCAATTTCTTGTAGGATTCTGGAACAACAGTTTATCGAGGATCCAAAAGAAGCTGCACTAAGGAATTTATCTTGGTTGTTGACAAAGAGAAAAAGGTACAAGTTAGTATAATTATTATTATTATTATTTTGTATAATTTTGTGATATGAAAGGTGTAGTGTGGGGTAAAACGTATTATTAGAATCACGGATTTACCTTTTATTTATGACTTGATTTTGGGGTGTCTTTTTTATTAGTTTGTAAAACACAGGTTCTCTGGTAGAGTCTAAAATAATATATTTCTGACATTAAAAAACAATACTGCATATTATGCAGTATTGTTTTTTAATGTCAGAAGATTGATTTCTTATGGATTATGTGATTTGCAATGTTGAGTGAAATTACCCCTTTGCATTATATTGGGAAGGCTGGGATATCACTATTACAGGGGCTCAGTACATGTAGATTCAATCAATCAATCAATCAACAAATTTATTTTACTATGCTAGCCACACACAATGAAAGCGTATTTCCAGGTGGGGCATAGGCAAACACACATTGCAAAAAATAGAAGCAATGTGGTGTTCATAACATATATGTAGGGCATTTTCTAATACATGTATTGGTAAATCATGGGGCATTCAAAACTTTTAAACATTCTAACTGAGATGAAGTACAACAGATCAGGGCCACAGGCAACCAACACCGTTGGGTTTGCCAGTTTCAGATGACGAAACTTGTAGTCCTGCTGTTGATAGGATGCTAGTGTCAAAGCATTCTCCCTGAGAAAGTAACTAGAAACATTGTCACAACGTAGGGTGCAAAGAGGGTCAGTTTTACAGCTTGCCATTCAGGAAAGCTGTAGCTAGCAGTACTGGCCCAAATGTCATTTCAACTACCACAAAAACAATTTTTGATGAGCAGGTTTGATTACAGTTCTTTTGTGATTTTAATTCGCGGAGAAACGTCACTTGCCCATCGGGCAACTTAAGAACAGAACTCACTAGCCTGATAGCAAAATCCGCTAGCTCCTAGGCTATTGGACACTACTTTGTTTGCACACTGCAACGTAAACCCTGCTTCAATATCCAAGGTGCTAACAGGCCCGCTTGAAGTTTGAGGCTTCATGGCTTTACTGTAGAGATTGTTTTCACAAGACGTCACAGCGGCCACATTGGTGTACAGTACAGTGAAATGGCTGCCATGTTGGTGTAGAGGAAAAATCCTGCGGGAATTGAACTCTTTTCTCACATAAAAACATGCTTTTGTTCCAAGAAATTTGCATAGCTGCTGACCACTTATAAGTAACAATGATCTACAGAATTGTGACAATGCATCAATTCACAGCTCAAGTGCTCCAGTTAATACATTATGACTGTACAAGAATAAATGTCAAAGTAACAATGGAATTGATGTGATTCATTTCTTTCAGACATTCACACTGGAAAGAATTGAGTCAGCTGTTCCACAACTCAAGAAAGTAAGGTATGGTCCTTTTCAGCCTTTTTTGGCACCTCCCCTTCCTGGTGTGAATATTTTATTATTCAGTCACGCAACATGAGGGGTAGTGTTCCCTTTTCCCCCTCCCAGTACAGCCCTTGCGCTCTCGCGCACCCGAGTTGCCCCTTCCCCTTCCCCTTTTAATGCAGGCGATAATAATTATTATTATTAAAGGCAAAAGCAGTTTATTTATCTAACCTCCACCATTAATCAAGTAATTTGTACTTTCACTTTGGCCGTGGCAGGATTGCCGTAAATGACCTACTAAACACCTGTTATCTGGTAAAGGCCCCCTCTATGCTGTATAAATTTTATTAAACACCCGTCAAAAGACGTCCCCTTTGAGAATGACTACAAAATACTAGGAGATGACAAAAAGGAACAAAATGAACGCATTCAAAAAAGAGCAATTCATTCAATTTCTTGCTTGATGAACCAGGGTTTGCGTATTTCGTCTTGCTCAATGTCAAGTTCAAAGTAGAGATAGACCAACGATGGTGACACAATAACCCTGAGCAGGGATTCTGACATCAATGTTGGGATTTGAAAGAGCCATATGGATCTCTAGACTGGCGGCCTAAACGTATTAATTGGTAGAGTGGATATTCTACTATTTTTAAACTCTCTTGAGTTGATATTTTTGCCAAAAGCATATTACAGTGAATTCTCTTAGGCCATTAAGCGGACCCCTAAATTAAGCGGACACCCTCTATTAAGTGGACACTAAGCCAGGTCCTGAAATTATGTCTTATATTTCCCTTTACAATGAACCACTATTCGGCGGACACCTCTATTAAGCAGACGGGGACACTAAAATAAATTGTATTTTGCTAATTTCTATTGTTAAAAACCTCTGTTAAGCGGACACCGGACTGAATTGACCAAAGTAGTATTGGATTACGTCCTTGAAATATGTACTGTAGTCGATTAATAAAGATGAATCAATGCATTTAGCTGTCAATAAACTGTAGATTAGACCAATGTTCAGCTGTATGATTGTCATCCGCGATCAAAAATCACCTCAAAGTCTTGCACAAAGTACAGCGCATCTTTCTTAGCTTCCTTAACAACATGGAACTTTATCACAGTACAGGGTAACCATTGAATGTTAATAGTTAACAAACATTGCACAATTTTTACAAACCTCTGATAAGCGGGCACCTGGGAAGGTCCCGAAGGTGTCCGCTTAATCACTGTAGTTTGACCACAAAACTGAGTATGGTGTGGGTTCAATTCCTGGGGCCTCACTTATACTCAAGGTCTTAAAAATATAACTACATGTGTAACAAATGAATGTACTTCCTTAGCCCGGCAAATGGCTAGACGTTCACGTGACTTGGTTGAGCATGTATAATGGCGTCCTTTCTTTAGAAGGAGACTTCAAAATACATACATGCGGTGTCCTCAATTATTACTTTCGTGCTTAATTTATTGACACTCAAATAAGGTGCATTCTTTCGGGAGGGGGTAGCAAAAAAGGTTTAATTTACACTGTAACCATTTCGGATTATTTATTATTTATAAAGCTTATAAGCTCTATTTATTTTTTTTTTTTACATTTCTGTCCACCTACCCCTCCCCTAAGCCAGCATTTTGCCCTAAGTGAGAAGTAAGTGTCAATGTTGGCTTAGGGGAGGGATAGGTTAGCAGTTTCCCAACCCCAATATCCACATAACAATTCTCGAGACTAATCCACTCACACACCCTTCAAGAATTTTAGAATTGAAAGAATATGATTAAAGATCAAGGCCTTTTCCTTTTGATGATAATTTTGTCAATTCTCGTAACCTTTCTTCTTGATGATGTATGATGTTGTTGGGAGAAAAGTGATGTCAGTCACTTTTGGAAATGTTTTAAGTTAAAGTTGTATTTTGCTATTGGTAGATCGTCAACTAAGTCAGCCAAGCCAGCAAAGTTACCTGTGACGCCTTCAACCGCAACACTAACGAAATCCCAAAAAACTAAAACAAAGAAAACACCAGAAAAGAAGGAAAAGAAGGTGTCAAAACAGGCTTCTCCTGTCAAGAGTACAATCTCATCAACATCTGCTCCAAGCTCTCAGGTATTTTGCTTTACAATATGTTCTTGTAAACTCTATCTCTGTTCTTTAGCTTCCCTTATGGGAGTTGGGGTGATGCTCGATATACCAGGTCAATAAGTATTATATGCACTGTTGTGGCGTTCTATTGTGTGAAGTTTATTATCTTATTGTGTTAGGGCTAGGGATCATTGTTGTGTTCTTTGTGACGTCACTCCAGACTTGCTATTCACCTGCTGGGCAGGTTTTGGGTAAAAGGCCAGACGAATTGTAATGCCTGGCCCAGCTGGTTGAAGGTTGGGAGTGGTTTGATGTCCCTTCCCCTTAAAAAATGGTTTGAATATCAATGTGTAGTTCCAGAAAATATCCATTTATTCAATAAGCCCCCCCCCCCGCCACGGAGGGCACTTTTGTCTTTTGTTTGAGAAACCCACCCCTTTGGGAAAAAAAACCTCTGTAAATGCCAAATGTCGTCTAACTTTCTATTTGATGAGTGTCGCTCAGAAACGTTAAGCTCACTAACACTGATCACTCTTCACTAACTCTGCACTGCTATATTTCTTTAGTAAATAACCTTTTCATCAACTCTATACTGCAGGAGTCTAGCGCTAAAGCTGAAGAAACAACCCTCAATGCTGAATCGGACTTAAGCTCATCATCCTCCAGCGATAGTTCTGATTCTGAAAAGGACGAAAATGAAGATGAATTTGACGAGAAAGATGTTGAGAAACTCAACAGTCTAATGGGCAATGTAAGTATACTAGTAATTTTGTAGTGATCTTATTATGAAACAACTCTGCAAGTGGGCAAGGTGAAGCGAATCCAGCGTCTAATTGGCTACCTAATACCCATAATACATCTTGTTTAACCCCCTGTCTTTAATTTCTCTTGGGACAACTGTAATACATTGGTAATGCAAAATTTTAGGGAGTGAACAAGGCGAGTTATGGGCAATGTGAAGATGATGAATGAGACGGGTCTATTTTACCCCCTTTGTTCTCGCAAGGGACAAAAAAACGTGTCATTTGACATACAAATCCTTTACCGGTCAAGCTTGTTCTAGCAAGCCGATGCGGCCTTGGTTTCTTTGAGTTTTTTGTGTCGAGTTTAATAAAAACTCGCCTAAAAAAAAAAGAATAACAACAACGAACGAGGCCAATACTGAGCCAAGGAGGCGTGGTCATGAACGTACATACCGGTATATTCAGTGGCGGCTAAACTTTTTACTGTTCCTCACTCACAACCCGCCCACAAAAAGTGCTCTTTTGCTGCGTATTTTTAATTCAACTTTTCATCATAGACTGCAAACAGTCGGTTTGTTGCTCAAAATCTGTTTTGCAAGAGGCGAAGCGCCGCCGACTCTTCTCCGTCTCACTCTCCGTCTTTATCCTCACTCTAGACCTTTCCTTTGGCCACTCACTTGCGCGCGCGTTCTTAACCTAAGCAAAACTACGGGCTGTTTTGGGTTTGTCATAAATATATCAAAACTTCTGCTTTAAGATAAGCAGTGTAAATCCTTTTAATTTGACATTTTTGATGTCTTTATTTTTCTTTTAAGATGGATGAAAAAGATACCTTAACCAAGAAGGTAGAAGGTTTCAACACTCTTTGTAAGTATGACATAACGCTTTCAAACTATGTCCTAGGCCTTACGATTACACAAAATAAAATATAAGAAAAGAATATAAACATCACAAAAAACCAAAATCGTGATTTCCTTCCTTCCTCATTTATTAACTTGATTTCTTCATAGTGTTCCGGCTTGATGCATTCCCCTTCGCTTAATGCATTTTCTTGCCAAAGCGGGTGGCGTTTCATTTTTTGGAAAATTTTTAATCCAATCCAGGCATCCAGAGCAGCGTATTCTATCTGTGTAAATGTTAAAGGATACTTTTCCCAGTTACTCATTGCTTTCGTCTTGTCAAGCTCAATTCCCAGAAATGTTTGGGCGAGTGCTTTCAAGCCTGTCTTCCTCATTGAGGGATCGATTTCCTTTGCCATCAACTGAATGTCTGCTAATCCTTCTAGAACCAAACCTAGATCTCTTTTGAGCTTTGAACCGTCTCGCTTTATGTCGCTTCCAACTTTGAGGATGTCTTTGTCTCTGAGTACAAGCTTGAGTGATTTCGGAAGCCTGTCCATGTGATAAGCGTGCAAAACTAAACAAGAGTTGTCAACGGCTAGTTGAAGGACGGCGGTTTCGTTTTCGGTTCCTCCGTACTTTTTGCTAACAAACTGAGGTTTCCACTCAATATCAAAGCCAACCGCCGATACTTGTGTAGGACAATCTATAACATTGTATCTTAGCCATTTCTCAGCCTCTAATGCATCAGTGGTATACACGACCTTGACTCCTTGAGCTGACAAAGGATAAGATAGCTCATACATTTTCGTTGTAAGGGGCATACTTCTTTGAGAAGTATTCAGCGAAGTGTACTCTGTGTTTGAGTTAAATCGTTTCTCTACATCTGTGCTTGCATTTCGGTGCTGAATCGGATGAGAACGTGCTTCATTTTCCCGACTATAACCTTGTTTCACGGTTGTTGACTTCCGATAATATTTTATATGGGTCCAATCTCTGCTCTCTACATCGTATCGAAAGCAAGGCACATAATTTGCATAATCTTCGGCCCGATTTGACGCCGAGAAAGCTTTTGTGCTTCTGAAAACCCTGGAATCGTTTTCGTAGTTATGTCCATAAAACGAGGGCGAAGCGAAACGATTTTCCCTGTATTGTCGAAGTGTGGAACTTCGCACAGGTAACGGTGACCGAAATGTCAGCTTAGAATCTTGGTCGTGGCATTGACTATCGCTATCTGAGCCACTAGTTGAATCCTGGTAAAGATAGCTCGGTCGTTCGTCAAGCCTTGCATGAGACATCATACGATCGCCAAAACCCTCCAAAATGATATAAAACTAAGACTAGAATCAATTGACAAGTCATCGTCACAATCAAGCAGGTACAGGAACATTGGACTTTGGTGGACACGTGATGTTGCCTAAGCTCACGAGACAAGAGTTGGTACCGGGGCCCCCCCGGGATTTGGTAACTCGTGCAACTGTTGGCCAAAACTCTTTAGACCCTGTAATTACGAAAATCATTGCCGTAATTGACGGGATTCTAAGGGAGGAGTACAAGTATATTTCAGGTCACAATTTCGAGAATGTGTTGAATTATTGTAGCCTGTGTACGGCCGCCCCTTGCGGGAAGGGGGCGGCTATGCACAGCCTAAATAATTGTAATGATGAAATAAATGACATTTATTTATGAACACAGCTTGTTCACTGCGAGGAAGACTTGTATACTTATTAAAAATTGAACAGGTCCCCGTTGTTTGTGTTCACAGGTGAAGATCTCCAGTTAAGCGAATCAGGAAGTGACAGCGATTAACAAGAGATCGTGGACGGTATCTAACAAAAGAATTTTTAGTCATTAATTTATAAGATATTTAATTATAATTTATGCTAATATATGCATTGACCGCTTTGCATTTATAAAGATATATTTGGTTAAAACGGTTATTTTTCATTTTCCACCCTGTGTCTTAACTGAAAAATGCTTTCTGTTTCTTTACGACGATACTTTTTCATCCTTTATTGCCTTTAAACCTTACGTCATCTTGTTGGCGAACTCTGTCTACCGAAATTTTTCTGCATTTTTTCTTAATTTTTAAAAATGAAATTGGAATTGAGAGTGTTTTGACGATAACATAGTCATCTGACAATAACATCGCAAGCACTTTGAAACCACCTGCATCGATGAAATTTTGTGCAATCGGGAAACCTCGTTCCCAGGTTCCTGCCTTATAATACTTGTCCCTATGAAGCGAGAGGGGACCGGGGAGTAGTCATTACGTCTTTGTCTAATTGTCCTCAGCTTCGCTTCACTGGAGGTACTCGGTTTGCAACCAAAAAAATAATACATACCCGTGATGAATAAATGGGAAACTGAAAACCTGTAATAAAAAAGAAGTAAAATATATGTAAAAGTAAACTTGAGCCCTTTACTATAGGGCCTATAGTAAAATTAACTTTATATTCAACCTGATATGGATCGACGCCTGTAACCAAGGCGTCTCTCGAGCTGTACCATAAAACGAATTGTAGATAGTTCTTCTAAACTGAAGTTCAAACTGATTAACTGATGTTTAAATCTTAGTTGCCGTTTGCCAGTGTTTGCACGGCAGATGATCAAAGACATGACCGTTCCTAGCATAACTTATGCTTAAATAGTACTGATCTTTGAATTACTCATCAAACTGTGTTTTAAAGAATTTCTGGTGTCTCTTGACGAAACGTCTGCTTGTGGTGTCCATTCCCAGGACCATTGTCAACGAAATCGTTTCTGTTTTGTCTAGCAAAACTAATGAACCGAGAAAAGACGGTTATGGGACTTAAACTTGAGCGAAAAGTTGTTTAGTATGTTTTATCTGTTAATATCTTGATCTTCATAATTCTTTAATTCTATGACTTGACGATGTTGTCCGATAGAATAACACAGAAATTGACCAAAATAAAGAAAGAAACAGCTAGACTGCTCTCACTCGCACAACTTTCCTGATTTCCCCACCTATTTCCAGGGGAAATGCTTATGAGAACTTAAAGTTGTCTTTCAAAATTTGGACGAGTTTCTTCATTCATCTGAATTTACATAAAGTAATTTTTTTTGTAAATAATCTGAAAAAAGAGAGAATTTAATATCTGCTAAATAAATATGCGTTTTTAGGAATGCAAATATTATTTTTGCTTTTATACTCTTTTGGGTGGAGTGGGAGGCATCTTAACTAAACGTTTCTCGATAACTCTTGTGTCGACGCTACTAAAGCCACCCCACAAATTTTTCAGGGACTTTTCCTCGGCCGTGGACTGATATCTATTTTGTGCCTCGCTTTAAAGTTTTAGCCTCGTTTACACAAAAATCATTTGAATGATCTTGCACTGAAATCATGTGCACTCTCCTCAAATCTTTAATTACAAAGAGTTTAATAGCTTGTAGCTCAATGCTTAACAAGGGGTTGGTATGGGAGCCAGAGCAGTTACATTACCATTTGTCCAACCTGAAAAATAAAAGGCAGTCTGTGACTGCTTATGGCCTTTACTTTACTTTTGCAGAATATTGTAAAAATAAGCAATGTTGTTCTAAAAATACGATTCTCACAAAACCTTGCGTTACTCAGAGAATGAGCCAACAGTAAGAACAAAAGAGCAAAACAACATGTCCTAGCCGGAAATCGCACGCATGCCAGGTACACAAGTATATGATTACTCTCCCAGCATTTGACGAATGTATTCTGTTTTGGGGACGCTTTTCCTTCTTTAATGGGCTATTAGGAAAGTTGAACTTGTAAAAGTTTTATTAAATTGACCCCTAGATCAAAATTTCGTCCTTCAAGATAGTCCCATAATGCAATTCGACACTACACCGACCCAGTCCATCTGCATGCGCACCCTGAAAATGACCATTGTTGCTGGGGTGGGGTGGGTGGAGGGGCAGAAAAATCCTGTTTAAACCACTTTATTTTAGCCTTGCTTTAAGTTTTGTCAGTTGTCTGTGTGTTGGGTATTAAATGCTAGTGATTATAACACAAAGAAAAGTAACGATTTATATCTAAGAAAAAATTGAAATACAGCACGTACACCTTCATGCATTGATCCTGTTTGACAAAATTGCTTTTTCTGTGATTAAAAAATACTTTCAACCAATCACCCGCGTGGTATTGTTTTTAAAACGCTCAATGAAACTTTGTTTTTAATTTTACTAATTTACATGAAACAATTACAAACTAACGCAGCGATAAGCTCAGTAAATAACGAACGAAATAAAACGCCCTAAAATGGACGTTTAAAACGCCGATAAAACATGGTGACCATTAATTTATTTTTCAATACATGTGCGCAGTGTATTTGTAAAGAACAAAGCGGGTCGTTTTCACAGAGCAGTTAGTGGATCTGAGCATTTTCGAGTGACGCTCAGTTTTATATTGCTTAACACTGTGTAAGCGTTTTTCTTCACTGAAGCACTAATATTGTAATATTTGCATCAAATATTTATGAACTTCATCACTTTCTTTGTTTGTCATCTAAACTACTAGTTTGATCCCAGTAGGGGAAAATTTACATAAAGTCCTCAGTTCACAATTATAGAAAGCATTTAAATGTGTTTTTCCGAGTGACTGCGTCAAGCGCGCTCAAGGAAGAGCAACACATAGACCATAAGAGAAGGGCTTAGTGCTGTTGACTTACTTATCACGCTATGGAGAATAATAATCATGGTCTCATGGCCGACAGGAAAAAGAACTCGAGAGTTAGGAAAACTTCTTCAGTCAACAAGAGCGTTTGGGCACAGTCGGCGACTAAGAAAGCAAGGAATGCAATTGACAATTTCGAAAATTTTATCCAGGCACGGCTTAGAGAAGCCACAAGGGAGGAAATAGTAGGAGCGATTGTGGCAATTATCGTGACGCTGGTAATTTTTGGGTATTCTCTGTACGTTGGGAATTATCTTGTGGCCCTGATTGTGATCGCTGTTTGGGTGACGACGTAAGAGTACAATATCATTCAAGGAGGTTGAATCTACGTGGCCGCAGCAAGGAAGGTTACGATGTGAAGCGACAAAGGCGCTTGTGAAAAGTGTATGTTTACTGGCAGTACTTGCAAATCATTGAAGCCGGAGAGAACTTAAAGTGAGTCTTGTTTGCCGACGAAACAATCATGAGCAAGTATTTGAAAACAAAAACAGACCACCTCTATGCAGAATATTTTGAGAATTGTCATTGTTTATTCATTCATGTCTTGGTCTACGGATTAAATCTATTTATGGCTGCTGAACACCGTGTTGTACTATGATAGTGCAACTATGTCAACATTGGTGATGTGGATCAACCGAGCCGAATTTGCATTTTACAGCGAAACAATAAAATTTTGTACAGTCCTGACCCCTTAATAATATAAGCAAAGCGAGAGTTGAATCAAAAAGTTATTCAAAGGCGTTAACCTTTAAGAGAATTTAAAATAATGCCTTTTTATTTATGCTGTTTCTTTGAAAAAAAAAACAGCAGAACAGAAGCATCTTTGTAAATTACACATTAAAATAATGTTACGCTTTAAATTAGTGGAAAATAATGACAAGGCTGGTAAAGGGAAGTCCTTCGTTTTTATTGATATTGATCACCGACCAATGACCGCAAATGTTGGGGTTGTAATACGTTTAGACCAAAGCCGTCTTAGCGAAAAATGGAGAATTTATTATTCACATTGCTCTCAATTATTACGAGGGTTTTATTGTAGTGAAGACATTGTTGGCTAATTGCGCGGAGCAAAGTGTTGTTAAACAAAGCAGAACAACCCTTCCTTCGGATTAGCTTGACATGTAATGGGGCATTTTGAAATGTTTTCTGTTAATTACTTGTCCAAAGTGTGCCCTTACGTCACAGCAAAGCTACCTTGGGTTAATTGCTTTTATCCTATTTTTAACACCTTTGAAATAGAAACACAGTAATTTACGATCAACGAAGTAGTCATCTATATGCGAGTAAAGAACGTCTCTGCTTTCTATTGAATATCATAATGAAGCCTATTGAATTTCTAATCATTGTGATTACTTTTAGGGAAATCTAGTTGGTCGTAATTTCCCTTTTATAGCATATCCGCGTTAAAAAAACCATGGAACGTCTGGTGGAAGTCTTTCCTACAATTTATGCAAAACAACAAAAATTGCGAATTAATTTTCAACTTAAGCAGCTGTTTTTTGCAACATTTTTTTTTGTATTTGTACCTATCATTCTTTTCATATTCTGACTAACTGATTCGAGACATTCATTGTAAATAGTTTATTAAGGATAAGTCTGTCAGTCAGTCAACTCATAAAGGGATATTCCAATAACATCAACTGTATCTTAGAACGACTACTAGTGGATATAAGATATAGGACCTGTGCTTCGCCAGATACGAGAAGTCACCCTTTAGATCTAGCCATTCGTTCATTAATTTATGTATTTATATATTTATCTATTTATTCGTTCGTCCGTTCATTATAGCATTCAAATGAGCTTAGAAGAAAGGGTTCAACTACCAAGAGTGAACAGCCTGGACTGACACATTTTCCGCCAAAAGCCTAAATAGTCTTTAAACATCCCTTAACAACCCGTGCGCTGCTCCATTTTTTTTTTTGGCGGGAAGGGGGAGGGGGGAGGAATAACAGCTAGTAATTTATGTACAGCAATGTATAGCCATCATGCTGATTTTTTAAAAATACATTTATGTTATTAAACTGATATGGCAGTATGGTTGAATTTTTGGTGGAAAATAGGATATATAGCGACAGAGCATCTCCAGGCTAAAATGGAATCTATTTGTTTCATTAAAAAAAGAAGAAAAAAAACTAGAAACTAGCCTCGTACGGGAAAACGGATTATAGATTTGTTCGAAGAATAAATTTGTTGAACGATTTGTCGAAGAACTTGTGTTGAACCCTCTTCGGTGCCTTCACATGTTTAACTGGTGACTCACGGGGATTTATTTGCCCCTGTCGATACTTCAGCTCTTTTTGGACTGTTGTTGCAAATAAAGTTGTTATGAATTCATCTGACAAACACCATACAAATTTATAATTTGACTGCCTCTAATCCAAACTTTAAAATAACTTGGGAAGAGGTGAGGTAGAGGGCAAAGATTAGGGAGCTTAAGCAACTACGACGACGACCACAACGATAACTTCAAAAAAATAATAGGTTTACTGATCAAAACAACAGCTCTGCACGTGCATCACGCTTTTTAGTACATTTCTTTGACGTCCACTGCCTGACGACGACCACAACGATGACTTCAAAAATATAATAGGTTTACTGATCAAAACAACAGCTCTGCACGTGCATCACGCTTTTTAGTACATTTCTTTGACGTCCACTGCACGACTACGACGTGAAACCTTATAATTTGACGTTTTATTCAGGACGTGGACATACGACGACGAATGTTTCGACCTCTTTTTGAACCTGAATAAAATCCTTAAGAATTCAACTCCAGGAAAAGTCGCCTGCATTTGACATATTGAGCGGGTCCAAGTAGACGCGATTGAGTTTGAAAGAACGCAAATTCATTTTTTTACCGACGTTTTCACTGCCGTCGTCGTCGTTTTATGTTTAAAGGAGCTTAAGCAGCGACGTTTTTGAGCGACGCACGTCAACCGGAAGTGAGGTATTTTCCCTCTTAGCATGCCTTGATGATATAAAATTTGTATTCCTTAGCTTCTTTACTGTTATAGAGGCGATTTGACTGAAAATTTGCGCGAAACCACCGTCAAAAAATGAAAAAAGGCCACTTCCGGTTGACGTGCGTCGCTCAAAAACGTTGTTGCTTAAGCTCCCTTTTAAAGGAGCTGTGTCACGTAATTTATCAAAATTCAAACCAAGGTAACTGCAACCGAATTGAGTGAAACATTTAAATGAAAAAAGTTAGAAGAGGGTATACAAAAGGAAGCACGGATGGAGAAAGTTTAAGAAGATTAAAACGGATTGCAATTTTGGTTTTTGAAAACTTGTTAGCCTAACAGTTTTTCAAAGTTCATTTTTATGGTTTGTGGCAATTGATATAATGCTTGGAAGACAAATTTTGTTCGACAAAAAGCTGTAATTTTGTCATTCTCCTGTAATTTTCATAGCGAATGAAGATGCGTAACTGGCACGATAAAGAAAATGAACTAGCCAGCCGTAATCCCCTTTAAGTACCCC